GAGAAGCGAAAGAACAACACTCGACTGAATGAAACCGAAAAATCCAACACGGGAGAGAGGATTCAGCTCGTAGCGGAAACTCGTATCCCCCGGTCTGTGCGAGACCTGCTTTCCACAGTGAGCAAAGCGTCCAAGTGGCTTGGTAAAAATTGCGATTTTTCGAGCAACAACCTGCGTGTACTCGAAATACAGGAACGGCGTACGGGGAAAAACGAGGAACGGCGTTCCCCACTCCGCCCCTTTATTTCGTTTCGCACGTAAGTACGTACGTAGAGCGCAACAGGGCAAACAAAGGGCGAGGCGAGTTAACGCTACGCCAGTATTTGATATAATTTAGCTGGATCTTTCGTGAACTCGTTGCTCGCCTCGGCAACGACAAGAAGAAGAAACGAAATACCGTGGCGGAACCAGTGCCAGCTACCGGAATAACCGGCCCCCGACCAATGCAGGTCTCTTCCTCCCCGGTTTGTTTCTTTCCCTGTCTCGCCTTTTTCTTTCTTTCTTTCTTCCTTTTTTTCTTTTTTCTTCCACTCGGCCGCGAAATCGTATCGGGGCGAGAAAGGGGTTGTATGGATTGTAGACAGACGTACGTACATAGGTATATATATATATATATATATATATATATACCGTTTCTATGGTCCTAATGTAGCGTTTGAAAGCGCACGTTGGCCGCCGCGGAGACGCAGGTAGATGATTTGGCGAGGCGGACCGGTGCACCGATTCATCGTTTCGATAGGAGAGCGCGCGGAACGCGGTAAAAAGAGATCGTGTAACCGAAGGCTCGTCCTCGGACTACGGGGATTACTGGGGAACCGTGGCGCGCACGCTGATCGATGGCACCCTTCCTTCTCTCATGTCGCATATTTACAAGGACTGGAATAAGATTGCGGCTTTAATAAAATATGGGGCAACCCGGCCAGCAGGTATGCCGAGCTGTTCCTTCGCGTTTCTTTCATCCGCTCGTCGGGGATGAAAATATATCCCCCGACGTTCGTGGCTCTTCGCTCGGGGATGCCTGCGACGTCAGTTCATTACGCACAGGTACGTGCGTAACAAGAGATATGCAGATATCGGCTCACTCCGTTTCGTGCTCTCGCGAGTGAATGTAAAAAGTCTCGATTTTATATTAACCCTTTTCACTTGAGATCCTTTTTCCGCGCGGCATTTTTGGCGAATTTCTTACCCCTAACTTAAAATTATTAAACACACAAATTAATGTATAAAACTTTTATATTTTAACATTCTATATATCTTTACACCTTTATGAAGAAAATTTCTTAAATATTTCATATAACAATTGTCAAGATGCATGCCCGGCTTGTCGGGGCAAGTATTACAATAATATGTTGTTTGATGTCTTTTGCCGGGGTTATTTCTTTGAGAAATAATAGATAAAGACTTTGCAATCCTTCCTAATTCATGTTACACTTCATAAGATTATACAGAAAGAGCGTAGGGTCCCGGTTCAAAAGAACTAAACGTAAACAGTCATTGCTACGCATCGAGTTTCCACATCAAACCAAGTGGTGAGTGAGAGTCAAAGGGTTAATATTTTTCAAAATCCTTCCAACAGAAAGATCCGACAATGAGAAGAATTCTCAATCATTTCTTTCAAGATTATATCTCGCTTTAATCTCTACGTCCACATTATATTATAATAGTTTAATCTTTCCTCGACTGGATATTCGTACAAGTTCATTTTTACCGTGGCGGAACTCGGACGAACGTTGATCACCGGTAATCGTGTCACCGGTTTGTTCGTGTCGATCGTGTTACTTGTTGCACGAGACAGGAATTGTTATTGGTTTGATGACTCGTTGTGCGCGTGCTGAGTCAACGCGACACATCCGCCGCGTCCGCTCGGTTCAAACTCGATGACCACTGGCTCTTGTTTGTCGTCCCTTTGATCGTCGGCCGTGTTGCCCGCGCGTCGAGTGTCACAGCACTTTTACACTGTCCGCGAGTGTCGACGAGATAAGCGACGAGTCGGCGGACAGGAACGAGGAAGCGTGCGATTTCCATCGCAAAAGTAGCTTAATAGACGATTCGACGAACAACTATTGGACCATGTGTACCAGCAGCATTACATTCGGTTTAATTCTCACTTCTCGTTTGAAAGACTTCTCGTTCTTCACTCTCTCGTCTAGGAGACTGCTAATGAAAAGTTTGGATATCGGAGATCGTAGCGGCGTCTTGTCGAAGTTTTAAAGTCGAGCGATCGTGACACACAGGGGGAAGAAAGCGCCTTTCCATTGCACGCTTGCGAATTCGCACGAACGTTTGGCAGACTTGAAAGTCAATGAGTTAGCCGAGCATACATCGCTGGCACCATGGGAACCGAATATCCGAACGTGCAAATGCGATGACACGTCCTTCTCTTCTATTCCTCGAATATTCCTCCTCGTATTGATTTGGTTCGCTTCAACTTTCGACTTTTACTGTGAGATTTTTACAGTCCCTATTAAGCCAAACTCCTTTCACATGGTTCACAGATGGCTCGATGGTTTCTTCGAGCAGAAATATTGCTCTTCCCATTTTCAACAGTTGTAACGTTCCCAAATTCTTCAAGTTTCCAGTAGCCTCTTAATTCTGCCAGTCACGAATATCTAACATTTAACTGAACATTTCAAAACATCTGTTGCTCCAAAAAATGCAATAATTTGCCATTTCTAGAAGCTTTGTCTTTCGAAATTTATCGATACGAAATTTAACGATCCCTTCGATTTCTTGATTTCTCAACTGAAGGATACGGTTCGCGTGTACGAACTTGGGATTCGTGGGATGCATCGACGAGATGAGAGGTTCTCCGAGGAGCATTTATCGGCGAGCGAATCGATCTCTCTGTCACGTTTAACGATCGGATATTAAATTTATAACGTAAATAATTTAAAAAATAATTTACTTCTTCGTTTTAACTCTCGCTTTGAATAATTTTGTTATAATATTCAAAGAGCATGTTCTTTCTGAAAGCAATTGGGAATCTAAAATTACGAGATTCCATACGCTTAGAGGTTAAGCTTCGAGCAGAACGCTCGTCACTGTCTCGTTATCAACTTGCGCTTGTATAAACCAACTTCTCGCACTTCTCAAATTCTCCCGAATCATCAGAAGGCTCTCTTTCTCTCTCTCCGCTTCATGACTCAGCTGCTGTCTGTCTGAATCCGCACGGTGAATCAACGTTGAACAAGCCAGCCTGTTGCTCGCCGAAACTCCGTTCCCCTGAATTTCCTCGAAAAATTTCGCCCGCCAGTGTGTCACATTTATCGCCGTGATGATCCGAAGGGAAACGATCGAGGAAATCACCAGCTGTACGGATAAAGTGTTCGTCACAACGAACGAGCTGTTTACGACGACAAGTACAAGGTTCGTTCATCAAAAATCACGCCCCTCCAACACGCGCGTCACGTCCATACCGGTCTCGGGCCGCTCGTGGTTTATCGTTTCTCAATATCGATTCGACCGATTCGATCCCGCGGCGCGCGGTGATAACCTGATTTAACAGCGACGGTGACGCACCATCGGCGAACCAAATGGAAAAATCGATCGACCGGAATACCTGGTTGCACCTTTGTCTCGTAAATTCAGCGACAAATCCCTTCATACATAGCCCGAACGCTATAACTCATTCTCTTCTGTCCCTCAGACCTCAGAAGAATACCTCTCGGTATTTACGGTCGGCCGCGCTACACACTTTGCTAGATAATAAAAGTTAAGTCAAATTTCGTGTCAGGTACGAAAATGAATTCTTCGGCTATCCCTCAGTCAGACTACATGTGCTGTTATGCTGTAGTTTGGCGATTAGACATCTGGTTTTCTTCAAAACCTCTGGTTGTCCATTGAACTTTATGGTTGGAAAGCGTCTGGTCCTTTTTAACCAGACTTATAAATCTTCGTGTATTTATGCAAAACTATGGTTAAAATTCAAAGTTTATTCAAAATAAAAATCGCAGTTTTCCCGTGTTTCCCGTGTACAGACTGAAGCGTTGTTAACCTTCGAGTACGTCGTTCGACCGAATGTCAAACGTGAAACTGGCAACGGCGTCTCGATGATGGCCAATTCACGTCTCGAAAGGGTGAAAAAGGTGGCGAAAGCGACGTTCGTCGCGGGAGAAACGAAAGAATACCGTTATCGAGTGGATGATCTCGTGAGCGGTCGTGTGGCTGGATCGTTAATGGAAGCACGCGGAATCCTCCCCCTCTCGAGCGCAAAAATATCGAGCTACGTCGGTGAATCGTGCACCAGGGGGGAGGGATGTTCGCGCGCATACAATCGCGCTGGCTGCACGCACGTGCGTGTGTGGGTTCCAGCACGCGTGGGCGATGCTGTGGCACGCGACACGACCGTTACACGTTCGAAACCGGCGATGGCGGCGGAGCGACGAGAAAGGGACGAGGGGTGAAATTCAGAAAGGGGAACCGGGGCAGATTGCCGCGTATATATATATACTAATACAATCGACACGTCTCTTGTCCGTATATGCGAGGAACACACGTGAAAAGGCGGCTGACGTGTAAAAAAAAAAAAAAGAAAGGAGAAAAAAAGAAGAAGAAGAAAGAAAGAAACGGCACAGCAGCCAATGCCACGGCGGAGAAGCGTGCACTTTTATGTACGTACGTACATGGAGAAAAACGTACACATGTGCGGGGCAACTTATTCGAGGAAGGAAGGTAGAACGAGGGGGGAAGATTCAGGTAGACCGAACGGAAATTCGAATAGAAAAATGTGAGAGCACCGGCGTGGCAAGGATACACGTAGGGTGAAAACGTACCCCTGTGCACGAACTCGCGTGTACGCACACGCAAGAGAGAGAGAGAGAAGCGCGTTGAATCGGTGGTGCATGTGCACCGACGACAGCGCAGAGGTGACGGGTCGTTGGGCCAGGTCTCGAGCGGTGAGTGGTGGCATCTCTCTCTCCGTGGCGGGGAGGGAGTGAATGTTACGAAGGGGCCCCAGCATCTGCTTCGTACAACAACGCGCCAAACGCAAGCGCAAACCTAGAGCGAGAGAGAGAGAGAGAAGGGGAATCGTACCCCCTCCTGACTCAAGGGTGTGAGAGAGAGGGTAGGCAGGAGAAAGGGGAGAAGAGGATGGGAAGAAGGAGGAAGGAAAAGAAAGGAGAGGAAGGCAGGCAGGATAATCGCGTCGCACTCACGAACATCCTGCACCTCCTGTTGTTGTGTAGAAAGGAGAGGGGGGACATACGAGAGTCGGAGAAACAGATGCCCAACCAATGATTGGCGAATGGCCCGCGACCGGGCGTCCCCTATTGGCGGGAAGCGCGGGGCCCAAAGGCCTGCATTGGTCAGGCAGCACGTGCGGGCCACCTGCACCTGGCCGGTGGGGTGAACTGTTATAAAAGGCCCAGACGTACCCCCCTGCTAGTCAGATACCGGCTTGCAGCCGAACAGTTTCCACAGCTAGCAACGCTTACACGTTCTTCCGAGTATCATACGCTCGAGTTTACCCGCCAGTCGTTTGTTCCTTGTTTTCTTCCCTTCTTTCTTTCATTGTTTTTCGCTCCCTTTTTTCTATTCCTCCGTCCTACGAGCGTTTGTCAGCTCGTTTGATTTCGGTTGAACAGTCAGTTCAGTTTAGTTCGTACCGCGAACTTTGACATTCCTCCTCTTCGGAAGGAAGGAGATCGTTCGCGCGTTCGTCACGAGAAAAGTGGATTCTACGAAGAAAAGGACCGATCAGGACTTTTCCTCATCATCGGCAGTGTGTCGCAGTGCAGTGATCACGTACCGCCAGTTTGACAGTTTGTGGTTTGTGTGATCTGTGCCGGTTTGAAAACCACTGGATTAACAGCGGTGTCCGAAAGTTCAGTCAACGCGAAGCTTTCTTCTACGGTGAACACGTCAGCCAGAGACAATCAAAATGTTGGTCGAAGAAGTGCCGAGAAGCTTCGTTAAGAAGAACAATAGTTACAGTCACTGTCCACTCAAGAAACGGCCAGTGCACGTCCTGCCCACCGAAGAAGTACCAGAAGTGATCAAAGGTGAGTCTCGACTGTTTCATTCGTAGCCTCTTCCCCTCCTCGGTCGAACTAATTTCGATTCTAACGTTTCCTCAACCTCGAAGAACCTCGTCGAAGAGAACCTTCGTCCGTCTGAAACGAAATTTTCTCCCGTCTTTTCCAGAGGAAATCATCGACGTCGTGATGGACGACATCCCCGAGCCGGAGAATCTGAGCACAAAGCCAGAGGATCTGAGCAGAACGGCGGAACGACAGCACCAGCAACAGCACCAGGAGCCGGAGCACCGCGTTTCCAGGTCTCCATCGCCAGTTGCCAATGTCGCTTCCTCGTCGTCCCCGTTGGTAACCAGGCCGGCCTCTCCAACGATGCACGGTCACGTGCATCCCATACGGCTGCATCATCACCACTATCCGCCCAAAACGATCACTCCACCGGCAGGTATCGCGCCGATCCATCCAGTGGCGAAAAAGGCGCGAGTGGAGGTGTTGCAGCACGACAACTCGTCGTCGACGGCAGCGGTGACAGCCACGTCGGCGCCGTTGCACTTCATGGCGAGCAAGGCTCCTCTGCAGCCTTTAAATCTGAACACGCCGGTCGAACCGTTGGCTCACTACGCCACCCCCGCGTGGGCTCGAACAACTCCGCTCTATCCGTCGCACTACCTACCATATCCGGCGGCCTATCACTATCACCACGCTGGGGCAGAACTCTATCCGTCCTACCCGATACCAGCGTATCCGCACTCGTCGCCGGAGCATCACCCATCCGTCTCGCCGCCACCGCACGGTGCCACGCTCACCTGTCCAACGATTCAGCGGCCGATCGCGAGAAGTTACAGTCATTGGGCGAGTCCTGATCACTGTGGCTTGTCGCCGACGAGTTCCTTGGGCTCCGGATCGCTTCGATCGCCACCGCCAGTCACGCCGGAGGATCTGTCGTCCCCTGGCAGCGACAGCGGCAGATCGTCCGCTGGAAGCACGTCGGCCGGCTCCGCGATCGTCAACCCGAAGATCGAGAAAATCGGCGGAGTGTCCAGTGGTTCCACGGCGTCGTCCTTGTCCTCATCTTCGTCCACCTCGTCATCCTCTTCGTCGTCGACGTCGCCGAGGTACCAGTGCCCCGACTGCGGCAAGTCCTACTCCACTTATTCCGGTTTGTCGAAGCACCAACAGTTCCACTGTGCGGCTGCCGAGGGCCAGGCAAAAAAGTCCTTCTCGTGCAAGTACTGCGAGAAAGTGTACGTGAGCCTGGGCGCCTTGAAGATGCACATCAGGACGCACACGTTGCCCTGCAAGTGCCACCTCTGCGGCAAAGCGTTCTCCAGGCCGTGGCTGCTCCAAGGCCACATCAGGACGCACACCGGCGAGAAGCCGTTCAGCTGTCAGCACTGCAACCGAGCGTTCGCTGACAGGAGTAACCTGAGGGCGCATCTTCAGACGCACAGTGACGTGAAGAAGTACTCGTGTACCTCCTGCAGCAAGACGTTCAGCAGAATGTCGCTGCTGACGAAACATCAGGAGGGCGGGTGCCCTGGCGTCGCTGTCCCTATCGCCTACGGATGCTGAAGTGCCAGCGATGAACTAGCGATTTGTGGAGTAGGAATATCTGAAGAAAAATACGATGTTCCAACGGATGGGCCACTGGGTTGCTGAGATCTCGGAGAAACGTTCTTCGAGAAAATGTACGCGGTGTGATCGTCCCGACTAGAGGAGTCCTCCTCGGATTCCTTCGACACGTTCCTTACTTCTTTCTCTTTTTCTTTTTCTGCAATAAAACATCTAGTACTTTGTTAAACTTGTTCGATCGATGAAGTGCCTTACGGAGTACAAATAAATAATAACGATTAGAAATAGGACGATCAGAAGAATCAGCGAAGGGTTCGGTTTCTCGATGGGTTCGTGTTCGACACGCTGAGAGAACTACGGTGACGGACCGTATATAGAGTACCTGGGATTTCCATTAAAATTCATGTTCGTGGACACGACGCGCGAGTTTTGAACAAGATCGTCGATATGACACGCGTCGCGTCGAGCAACCGAATTCAAAACTTCCAGAACGACGACGAATTCTCTCGAAGGGTCGTGGAGAAGAAAGGAAAAAAAAAAATCGGATCGTTTCCCGATTCCGATGGTTGTGCATTTTTTATTTCTCTTTGCTTGCTCGAAATCCCTTCGTCGTCCCATTGTAAATAGTCTCGTTGTGTGCGTGTGATGACAATCGGCGAGAATGGGCTTCAGCGAAACTGTACTTAGAAGACGATTCGAATGAAATTTCGCCGAAGACGAAACGGGAAAATGGATGATAAAAGAGAGTCGATGCCCCAACCGCTTGACGCGGTCCCGTGAAGCAATCGTGCCATTTTCATATTTCTCTCTCTCTCTCTCTCTCTCTCTCTCTCTCCGCTTTCGTTATTTCTGTTTTCACTAATTTCCGTTTCAACGCGAGGAAAAAGGAAAGGATAAGGGTGAAGAAATGATTCGAATAACATCGTGTGTAACAACTACACACATACACACACCAAAGTGCCATTTACGACATCGCGTGCCACGTGTGAGCTTGTAAATAATTGAACGATTGACAACTGTCAGGGCACGCGCGAAATGAAGTATTATAATTCGCCATAAAACGAATGGGGACGGAATGTGTAACGCGCGGAATAAAAGTATTTAACGATCGTTCGATTCGTCCGAACGTTCTTGTTCTTCTCGTGTCCCTTCGATAAAAGACTCGGCATTGCTAGATAGAACGTGTGAGAGGGAGAGAAAGAGGGTGCGCTTGATATCTTATACTTCATTTTGTCTTTTCGTTTTTTTTTTATACTTTTTCCCTTGCGTTTTCTTTTCTTTTTTTTTTTTTTTTGTAAATCACTTTAAGTTACTTGAAGAAACTAGTCATTGTACAATATACATATAAATATATTCTATCAATTGTGCGAGGAAACGAAACGAGAGATTCGCTGCGAGGTGAATTTACTCCGACTGGTCTTTTAACATTCCTCGTAGAGAAGTCACTCGAGAAAGATTATATAATTAAACACAAGTCGAGCC